ATGAGTGTTTCGTCGTCGGCGAAAGCCAAGAAGCTCCTGCTAACTCTTCAGCTGGAAACGCTAGATCACTGCGATCTGGAGGCCGACCAGCTGCTAGGGAAAACGCTACCTGACGATGAGACACTTCGGGATGTCGAACATGCAGCCTTTGGTGAGTTCGTACACCGTTTTGATTCAACTATTACGAAAGGACAAACTCTCTTCGAGGAAATGGCACATATCGTGTTCGAATTTGTAGCCACGAAGAGTGCCGAAAAGGAATGCAGGAAGAAAGACGAGGAGAGTTTGCAAACGTATGCTAAAGCTTTAACTGCAAGCAACGAACGCCTGGCCAGGCTTAATGGAAAACTAGCTTGTGTGGCCCCAAAGTACACCTCAAACAAATCCGGAATTAGCCAAAAAATGGCCCAAACTGCCACCAAGGTGGAAATTGACACGAGTGGCTTAGAAAAAAGCGTACAGGAACTGGTTCAGGTGGCTCAAACGAACCTGGAAGCAGCCACACAAAATGCAAGCACGAGTGCAGCTGGTGCTGCTACTGTCCGTTTGCCAAAACTAGAGTTCAAACCCTTTGACGGAAATGTGCTCAAATTCACTGAATTCTGGGACCTTTTCACTGCAACCATACATAGCAATGCCAAGTTGTCTGACGTAGAAAAGCTTGCCTATCTAAAGCACAATGTCACTGGTGTTGCTGCAGAAGAAATTGCAGGTCTTACTCTAACCAACCAAAATTACACCGTGGCAAGGGATCTGCTGAAAGAAAGGTTTGGACAAGAACAAGCCATTCTGACTGCTCATTATCGTTCCCTCGTGGACTTGCCACGTGCAAACAACAATGCACAAGGACTCCGGGCCTTCTATAATGATGTCGAAACACACGTTAGAAGCCTGGAGGCAGCTGGCAAAAATGTACAACAAGAGTTGCTCGTACCACTAATCACGGCAAAGCTACCAAAATCTGTGCTGGTTCAACTAGAAATTGGAAAAACCACAGGTGCATGGTGTGTCACAACACTACGGAAAGCACTGTCTGCGTACATTACTGCACGCGAGGCAGCTGATCAGATGTCTGGCGAAACGACGAAACCAGATCAGGATCATTACAAGCAGCGCCTAACACGCACAATAAATTCAGCTGACACGCATACACACAATGGGTCAAAGGCAGCCTCGTACAGCCGTGAAGGCGGAAGGCCCACACCACAATCGGGTACTTCTCTCTTAGCGAATAGTGGAAATGCCAGGCCAAACAAACCTTTGCGCTGTTGGTTCTGCGCTGGGCAACACTTCACGGATGAATGCAACAAGTATTGTACCGTGAAAGAACGTACAGAGAAAATCGGAAATCGCTGTCATGTCTGTTTCAAAGAGGGACACAAGGCTGAGTCGTGTCCAGATCCATGGCAATGTTTTCACTGCAAGAAGAGGTCACACCACCGAAGTATTTGCCCCGTTAAATTCCCCGATTCAACCGTGCAGGGTAGCAGTATGGTGGCATGTGACAATGTAATGGTTGAACAAGGACAAGGGATATTGCAATGTGCTCAAGCATGTTTTACCCGTGATGAGGGAGGAAATACAACTCTTGGTCATATGATGTTTGACACGGGGTCGCACATTCATTACCGCTGAACTGTGTGAGAAGCTTGAATTGAAACCATTTGCTTGGGATGAGGTAGCAATGGCTGGCTTTGGAGATACTGAACGTAAATTAGAGCACTACCCCAGGGTTTCTTTCAAGGTGAATCTCCCCAATGGCAATTCAAAGGAAATTATTGCCAATGTAAAGGACACTATTACGTGTCCAATCAGAAGAATTCCGATGGGTCTTGAGCATTCTTCAGTGCTAAACAGTGCTCAATTGGCAGCATCTCTGATCACGAGCACTGAACACACTCCAATCGATGTACTTATTGGGGTGGATTACTATTACGAGTTCATTCAACCAGGGTGGGTCAAAACTCCTGATAACTTGGTTTTCTTGGAATCCGACTTCGGGTTGATTCCCACTGGGAAAGTGTTTTCAGATGAAATGGCTCGTACTGCCATGCTTACTTCTTGTGACATAGCCAACCACACCGAAATCCCCTTGGATCTCAAGTCATTCTGGGAACTAGAGCACATTGGGATAACCGACCCCTTAGATGTGGATGATAATGATGTTGCTATGGCCCATTTCAATGCCCATATCCAGTTTAACGGAGATCGGTATACCGTAAATTGGCCCTGGAAAGATGAATCTGTTCAACCCCCAGACACTTACCCATTGGCACTAGGTCGTCTGAAGTCACTAATGAAACGTCTCCACAAGGATCCAGAAATGACACGGAAATACAATGAAGTTATCAATGATCAATTGAAGAAAGGCATCATTGAGGAGGTGGAAGACGTGGATTGTCACAACAACAAGATTCACTATTTACCCCATCACGCGGTGGTAAAGGAAAGCAGCGAAACAACTAAATTGCGGGTTGTTTTCGACGCCTCAGCAAAGACCAAGGCTGAACACAATTCACTTAATGATTGCCTGCACAAGGGGCCATGTCTCACGCCTGATCTTTGTGGAATGCTATTGCGCTTTCGACTCAAGCCCATAGCTCTAATGGCAGATGTTGAGAAAGCCTTCCTACAGCTGAACCTGGCCAAGGCAGACCGAGATGTAACGCGATTCCTCTGGCTGCGAGACGTTACTGCACCAATCGATACTGGCAATGTCGTAGTTTATCGTTTCTGCCGCGTTCCATTTGGCGTTATCTCCAGTCCGTTTCTGCTCTCTGCAACCCTTGACCACCACTTGGCAAAGGAGAACTCTGACGTCAACGAGCAACTTCGAGCCAACATGTACGTAGACAACATGCTTGCTGGTACGTCCGATTCCGAAGAAGCATCAGAATTCTACAAGGAAGCCAAATCTACTTTCAACTCCGCATCCATGAATCTTCGATCTTGGACATCCAACTGCCGTGAATTCTTAAATTCAATCCCGGAGATCGATCAGTCAGACCTTGAAGTACAGAAGTGTCTCGGTCTGCAATGGAATGTTGTATCCGACACGTTCAACGTCAGCCCGATCTCTCTAACCGAGGAAGATATCAACACCAAGAGATCTATTCTCAAGGTTCTCGCAAGCTTCTATGATCCGCTTGGTTTTCACGCACCCATTATTGTCCGAGCCAAGTGTCTCATTCAAGCCATCTGGAAAGAAGGTTTCGACTGGGACGATCCACTTCCGGAGTCCTATCTTACACTTTGGAAAGAGATCGCAGAAGACCTGAATGCCGCATGCACAATCAAAGTGCCACGTCACATTGATTTGATTGATGACTCGGGGTCCACAGAACTTCATGTCTTCTGTGACGCTTCGCAGAAAGCATATGCCGCGTGTGCGTACGTACGCCATACAAGTGCAAGCCAAACGGTATCGCATCTGATCATGTGTAAGACGAGAGTTGCTCCTATCAAAGGCCAAACAATACCAAGACTGGAGCTGTTGGCTGCTAGCATCGGGACTCGCCTAATTCGTTTCATCAGGGAACAACTCCCGATCAAGTTTGCTCATACTTGTCTATGGACCGACTCAACATGTGTCCTAGGTTGGGTACAATCTCCTGCCAAGAAGCAGCCTGTGTTCGTTGGAAATCGCCTGGCAGAGATCCGTTCAGAATCAGATGTTGTCTTCCGGCACATTCGGTCTGAGGAGAACCCAGCAGACCTGCCATCACGCGGCAGCTCGGCATCAACATTTGGCCACGAGCTCTGGTGGCATGGTCCCGCTAGGCTTCTGAAGCCGAACAACATCTCCGCAGAGCCTTCTGTTCTGGTTCACGGGGAGGGTCCCGCGGATGAAAGCCACCCACCGTCAACACCAGCTGGTATTGACCCCACGCAATATTCATCGTTTGCAAAACTCTTGCGAGTAACAGCATATGTCCAGCGTTTTATCAGATGTGCTCGTACTAAATCTCCAATACCTGCTCCACTCACCGTAGCGGAGATCGAGCGAGCCAAAGTCGAATGGCTGAGGTGCACGCAGCACAACACCTTCAAAGATGTCTTCCAGTCATTGACAAAGGGGAAGACAAATGACCTGGTCAATAAACACGGGCTCGTCCAAGACGAGAATGGCATTCTTCGATGTAATGGTCGCATGCAGAATGTACCACTGTCAGCTAGGTCACAGCCAATTCTTCTGTCTGGAAAAAGTCCAATCAGCCAACTAATCATTGGTGATACCCATCGGAGGTTGATCCACACCGGAACCAACACAACACTGGTTGCAACTCGCAAACAGTATTGGATTACTCGCGGAAGGGAAACCGCCAAACGCGTACTTGCACGGTGCAAGATGTGCAAACGCTTTGACGGTGGACCTTTCGCTATGCCTGCCATGCCGCAATACCCGAAGGAAAAGGTGACTGGAGGGTGTGCACCATTCACCACCACGGGAGTGGATTACTTTGGGCCTGTCACAGTGAGGAGCGGTAATGAATCGGTGAAGGCATGGGTGGTGCTATTCACGTGCCTAACCACACGTGCCGTTCATTTAGAAGCAGTCAGGGATATGACTACTAAGACCTTCTTAATGGCATACCGTCGCTTCATTGCTCGCCGTGGTACTCCCAGTAAGATAATTAGCGACAATGGCAAGCAATTCAAGTTGGCAAGCACCATTTTGGAGAATGTGTGGAACACGATTGATAAATGTCCTGACGTGATGAATTACCTGACTGCCAATGGCACTATTTGGTCCTTCATCACAGAACTAACTCCGTGGATGGGCGGGTTCTACGAACGAATGGTCCAAACGGTCAAGCGATCTTTACGTAAGTCCATCGGTCGATCTCTCCTCACACATTATGAATTTGAGACGCTCTTGATTGAGGTTGAGGCGGTTGTGAATGCCAGACCCCTGACTTACGTCAGCGATGATCCCACCCAACTTGTGATCACTCCAGCCCATTTCCTCTGTCTGAATCCTAACATCGGCTTCCCACCGGTGGACAGCGATACCATTGATCCAGATTTCAATCCTAATAGTAATCCAAGTGATGCACTTCTTGCCCCGTTGAAACAAGGCCAGGTTAAAGTGGAACGTTTCTGGAGTATTT